TGCATTTATATAGTTGCATGCATGCATGCATGCAGTTGCATGCATGCATATATATATGCATGCATACAGATGCATGCAAATGAAATACAGCTGATTGTTGTTTCAGCAAGCGCATGCATGCATGCATGCATGCAGCAGCTGTTGGTTTTTTTTTCTCTTGCATGCATCGAGTGCATGCAGTAGACATGCATACACCTCAATGCTTATACTCTATGTGCCTCGCATGCACTTACACGAGCATCCATGCTGCTGCTGCTCCTTAGCAGCAGCAGCAGCAGCAGCAGCAGCAACAGCAGCAGCAGCAGCAGCAGCAGGTTGTTTGCATGCATGCGCATGCACGCATCTCCGTGTGTTCGTTCTGCAGCTCGTCGCCGGGCCCCCCCCAGCTCTCCTTCATCAGCAACAACAGCAACATCCAGCAGCAGCAGCAGCAGCATCAGCAGCAGCAGCAGCAGCAGCAGCAGCGCGGATGATGAGGGTAGCGACAGCGGCGATGAATTAGTCCCCTTGCGGGTAGAGGAGATATCTCCTGTCTCCTCCAGGGTTTTAGGGAAAGAAAAAGAAAAAAATAAAATAAATAAAGACAAAGACAAAGACAAAGACAAAGACAAAGACAGCATAAAAAGTATATACTGGTATATTAAAGCATGCGTTGTTGCTGGGCTGTATCCGCAGGTTGCAACCATTCAAGCCCCAAGAACATACATGGTAAACCCTAAACCCTAAACCCTAAACCCTAAACCCTAAACCCTTTTTTTTAGGAATATAAAACCCTCAAAGAGATTCAACAAATGCAACTGCAGCGGATGCAAGAGGCTCTCTTTTTTGTTCTTTCCTGCTGCTTCTTCTGCCACTGCTGCTGCTGCTGCTGCTCCTGCTGCTGCTGCTACTGCTGCTGCTGCTGCTACTGCTGTTGCTGCTGCTGCTGCTGCTGCTGCTGCTGCTGCTGCTGCTGCTGCTGCTGCTGCTGCTGCTGCTGCTGCAGACGGTGGGTTCAGGTACACTGGAGAAAGCGCCAGAGGCGTGGCAGATGAAGTTCTTTACTCGCGTTGATGCCGACCCCAACAACCCCCAAGACGATAAAAAAAACACAAAACAAAAACTGCAGCGGTGGGGGTTTTGGACCTTCTATACTCGAGGGTTTAGGGTTTAGGGTTTAGGGTTTAGGGTTTAGGGTTTAGGGTTTGGATAGGATATAAGGCCTGAATTTCTCTCTCAAGCGACAATTTGCTTCCTTATAAAATGTCTAGTGTTTAGTATCTACCATTTAGGGTTTAGGGTTTAGGGTTTAGGGTTTAGGGTTTAGGGTTTAGGGTTTATGTGGTGTGTATCAGTGTGTTTATACACCCTACATCTGTGAACTTCAAGACATGCGAGTTCGATACCCAGTGGGTGGCATTCAGCGAGAAGATGCAAACCACAAAAGTTTTTATAAAGGATGTTTCTACTGTCTCCGTTTTTGCCCTGCTGCTGCTCTCCTGTATGCTGCTGCTGCTCCTGCTGCTGCTGCTGCTGCTGTTGCTGCTGCTTCTGCTGCTGCTGCTGCTGCTGCTGTTGATGCTGCTGCTGTTGCTGCTGGTGCTGGTGTTGATGCTGCTGGTGCTGTTGCTGGTGGTGCTGGTGCTGGTGCTGCTGTTGATGCTGCTGCTGTTGTTGCTGTTGCAGTTGCTGCTGCTTCTGTTGCCGTTGCTGCTCTTGTTGCTTCTGTTGTTGCTGCTGCTGTTGCTGCTGCTATTGCTGCTGCAGTTGTTGCTTGTCAGCTCTGTAGTGTCTACCCCACCCTAAACTAACGAAGCACATGCATCCCCAGCATCTAGCATCTAGGGTTTAGGGTTTAGGGTTTAGGGTTTAGGGTTTAGGGTTTGTGTGTTAGGTTGTGAGTTGGTTCCCTCACAAGGCCAAGGGTCTGTGTGGCTGGACGGGTGGCTGCAGCTGCGGTGCCCGGGCCTCATCAGCAGCTACGTGAAGCACCTGAAGGTTTTGTTTCATTTTTTTCTCAATGAGTTTTATTCTCTATCAGCTGCAGCACTAGCACACAAAGATAATACAACTGAGTACCAGCAGCAGCAGCAGCAGCAGCAGCAGCAGCAGCAGCAGCAGCGGGAGGGGGAGGAGGGGGA